TTTTCTTAGAACCCAACTGTTGTGGTATATCGCTAGTAACTAATTTTTCTACCCTTTCATTTTATTTACTTCTTTTACTATTTCTTCATTACTCATATTTGTCATTTAATTGATTGAATTTGGGTTTTGTTGTGACATTCTTGCATGTTTTTTCAAGACTTCTTTCTTCGATCTTCTTTACAACTTCTATTATTTGACCATAAATCAAAAAGTTTTTCTTTGTAATTTCATTTGGATTACCAATTGCAATACTAAATACAATTTGCTCTATGTTGTTTGGTTCATAAGTCCTGTATCACCTAGTGCTTTAGTCAGTATTTTACTATCTAAATACTTAAGATTAATTTCTTCTGCTCTCCAAATGAAATTAAGCAGTCCTTGCTTGTATGCTTCTTCCATCTTGATATCTTATTTTCTTTATATATTGAAACTTCAATACTAATACTTCACTTAGCTAACTGAAACTATTCTAGAATATTCTATTTAAGTTACATATAATTGAACCTGTTATTGTTGTTTACTATTTAATCAAAACATATATTTGTTGTATTTTCTAATTTGGTAATAGATTTCTAAAAAAGATACATGTTTTGTTTATTTTTTGTTGTTTGTTGTTGTTGTTCGATTACATGTTTTTTTTTCAATTTTTCAGGGTTTAGGCTAGTCCCCAGAAATTTCTAAAAATTTTGTTTGAAAATTTAAAGACAAGTTTATAAGAGAGAAAGGAAAAAAAAGAAGTAATTAAAAGAAAATAAAGCAAGAAAAAAAAAAAAAGTTTAAATTTTATAGTCTCCAAGATACCCTAAGAAGAACAGGCCAATTATATTTGGGGTAGATGTTTGTTGATCAGTGTGTATTGGTTAAGAATAACAAAAAAAAATTCTTTTTTGTTTGCTCTATACAAAGACTATTCAGTTAAAAAAACTAATTAGCCAGATCATATTCAGCTATTTGTAGCTTTTAAACTTCCAAATATTAACTTTAATAGTATTAAAATTAATATTTTTAATCAAAAAAAAAGATGTAATAATTAATCTATTATGTGTTTAAATTTTTTCTATGAAATTGAGGATTAGCAGA